AAAGAAAGAAAGAAAGAAAGAAAGAAAGAAAGAAAGAAAGAAAGAAAGAAAGAAAGAAAGAAAGAAAGAAAGAAAGAAAGAAAGAAAGAACGTTTAATGAGGAAATAAAAGAAAAAGGATGAAGAATTATTGCTCCATTGGTATTAAGAGAAGGCATTCAAACACAGAAACAGAAAAAAAATGAACAATTAGGATTCAAAGTACAAGAAACAAACATCATTTAGATCAGACTTCCTGTCTGATGGTATCGGGCCCGTACCAACACATTCTTTTTACGTTACAATCATTTTGAAAAAACAATTTTGATAAGGATTTCTTAATAGGTCATTAGTCTGATAGGAAGCATTCCGTTACCATCGCAGTAACCGTACTAGAGACGTCTAATTAGTCAGTATTTGTTCTGCAGTGAGACAAAACGACGCTAAACTAAAAATATAAAAATATTAATTTGGTGTTAGAAATATGTAGTAGAAGAGCATTTACAGAAGTTTACAATTCTATTTTTGAGTAGAAACCTTATTACTATCTTTTATAATAAATTGAAAAATTTTTTGTTTTTGTTTTTTTTGCAAGATTATCTTAAATCGCATTTCTCAGCCACGCAGATATATCATGGCGCCCCTATAAAAGAGTCACTGTGTTGCTGATGTATTCTAATTTACGAACCAATGGTGGCGTGGCAGAAGTGCACTCGCCTCTCACCTATAGGGTTTCAGGTTCGATATCTGGATTGTGTATCACATGTGAGTAGTGTTCGTTAGATTTCTCCCCTGATTCCGGGGAGAAATCAACCGCGGTTGTCTTCCCCTCCGCAAAACCCAACACGTTGAATTCTAAATTCCGATTCGTCGATCCATCATAGACACGGCGAGATATCTTTCTTGATATTTTTTCCGCAGAAAGCGCTAGTGATATACAACTCGGAAAAAATATCAGGGATGATATTATAAATATTTATTTATCTATTATTATTTTGATATGCTTTTGATATACTTATATATATGTTGATATATGTTGGAAGCGGCCATAATTTTTGCAAATGGCTGTGTATATATATATATATATATATATTCCGTTCGGCTTATTACGAATTTCTATACTTCACCTACAGGAACTAATTTAGCAGTGCGCACTAAGTTTCTCGTATACAGATGAGGTAAAAGTAAATGACCTTCTAGTTAATTTATCTGTTATCCCTTTTCCGTCGCAGCTTATTCTTCCTGATAAAGTATAATAAAAAACCCTAAATCGACTTACTAGTAAAGATTTTATATGAAGAAAATTGTTTTTGAAATTTTCTGTTAACCCTTTAAGCATTAATTTGTCAGTTCTTTGCGTGCTTTATCAGATTCAAGTTCCATAATCTTTAATAAAAAAATGCAAGCTCCTATTAAATGCATCCTTAGTCGCATCGCAGAGAATTAGCTATACGGATCGTAGTAATTCGCAAAGTAGATCTTAACTACTCGTATAATACCTTAAACTGCATGGTAAAAGATAAAAAAATAAATGGTCTTGTGTTTTCCGGGATGTTTCAAGGTCACCGAATCTATTCTTTATTTTTTTGTTTTTTATTTTTTCCTATCTTGATAGTCTAATTGTAGTCTTGGGGGGTCATATAGTGGTGCAGTTATATTCTTTATGTACCTACAGCTGCGTTTAACCTCATTTAATTATTGCTTGACTTAGCATATCATGCACGTAGCTGAACGGGTTCTCTCTAGTTTAATTTCTAGAAAAATTCTGAATCAGCAAGACTTCTCCCTTTACAGAGATCTGGACGTGCGGCATTTGTTATTCAACAGCGATAGTTTGCAGCTAAGCAAAAAAAAAAACCCTTTATTTTACGTCAAGTAAATGGTGAGGGATATATAGCATGGTAAGTGTGCATAGCTAGTACGTTATAAGAGACGTGAGATAGACAAGTGTAGGTATTATATATTTGCAGGAAATAGAAGAAAAAACTATATACGAAGTCACATTATAGTAAGTCACTATCGGCTAAGTCACATTATAGTGCTCTAGCTGAACATATCAAAGAATCAAATTTATAGTGTTCATAAATAATTGATTTCAAGCTGTCATTTTCTTGGTCTATGACGTCATGAGTGAAATAAAGGGGTAGAAGTGTTAGGCATTTCCCAGACCTTCTCTCTCGGTTTGGACATGAAGAGTCTGGGTTATCGAGAGTTAGATTTTGCTAGACTCTTCCACAGTCTCTCGCTCGTCCGTTCCGTCTCCACGCTTAGAGACTGTAACGGTACAATGACCGAAAGGACTTATGGGTCCCCAAAACTCGGACCCGGCGTGCTTTGGGAACTAAAATACTCGTTTTCGTCGACATCTTGAAAATATTGAAACGAGAGAGACTGTGGACGAGTATTTTGGGTTCCCAAAGCACGCCGGGTCCAAGTTTTCGGGACCCATAAGTCCTTTCGGTCAATCTACCGTAACAGTTTCTAAGCGTGGAGACGGAACGGACGACTGTGGAAGGGTCTAGTTTAGATTTTGTCAACATTCTAGTTCCCAGAACCTACTCATTAGTCGAATCATAGGCTCTGAGAAATCCTATTAACCGGAAGACAGAACCTTGCGACCAGGCCGTGAGAGTGCATGCTCTATCACGGGACCAGTAAAAGTCGGCTTAATTTTTCTAACGGCTTGTTTTCGTCGCGGTCTATTTGCAAAAGTCTGAATAGAAATAGTCTCTATGCACAACCAGTATAAAGCATTTCAACAGGTGTCTGATGAGAGAGGGGTATTTACTGATAACATATCACATGACTTAATAAAAGCGGGTCTYTTTTTTTTGGCCATCTCATTGTTTTACTCCTGTCCCCAATTTACCTTATACGGCCATGGTTTAGACTTGCTCACGTCTTCTGACCACTACACACACACTGACCTACAGATCATAATAACACTGATTACTTAACCTGAACAAAATGAGTATAGCTATCTAAAAATTATTTTGTGATTTTAGAAATAAAGTTAAGGCAAATATGTCATTGAACAATTGTTCTGGCCACTACACACATGGACCCCTGTAGGTTATAATAGCACTTATTACTGATCATGAGCATGGCTATGACTATTTATGGCAACATCGTCATCGTGTATGTACATTTTAGTGGCCGCTGACACACGCGCAACCTCCTATACACCATGAACACAAGCAAGCAAGCAAGCAAGCAAGCAAGCAAGCAAGCAAGCAAGCAAGCAAAATGATTGCTATAAAGAGATTTCAAAGTCGTTAGTGGATAAGTGTTGTTTTTGTGAAGATAACAGATGAAAATAAATGAAATGAGTGATTTTTCAAACTACGTACTGATGACTACAATATAAATACTCATACAGCTAAAAATTTCATAGCCTTTATAGCCTTTTGCCAAATAAAAAAAACTTTAAGTTTTATTCTAATATACTGAAACTCCCTGCTGCTCAAATTCAAGCCACAGCTAACTCACAGAACTCACAGATCGAATTGGAATGAGAATATTAAGTTTTGCAGAGGGAGGAACACCAGAGAAACAGGAAAAACCCCCTGGATTATGACAGGGCAGAAAAAAAGACAAGCCCGCTACTTTCACGATTTTTWAAATTTAACTGAGTATAATACGCGTTTCATTTGTGTCACTGCTGCTCGAAACTTGCGACGAAATTTTGTCGAATTAGAGTAAATCTATTTATTAGTATTCACGAAAATGTCAGTTTTTCTGCTGATCAAAATATCACCTCTCCCAAAGTACACGGCTTTATACTCTCAAATACGCATTCAATAAATYTTGGTCGCATTTGATATTTTGCAATTTGGCTCCAAAAGAACGTGTTAACAAAACATTATATACGTAAATCAGTCTTATGGCGAAAGGTCAAAAACCGTTTTTCTGCCCTGTCCTGGAATAAAGGGACAGAACTAACAAACTCTACTCAGATAACATATTGAGATAAGCATATGCAATATCTTTTGAACGTTTTAACATTCGATAACGGTCCCAAAGAGTACAAGAGCATGAGAGAATATTTGAAGTCGTTCAATAGACTCGCGGCTGCGCCTCGTGGTTTTAAACCTGATAAAACACTCCTGCTCATTTATGAAACTATACAAAAACAATTTTTCGCTGCTCATGAAGAATTGAAAGCGCAAAGACGCATGAGAATGATTGTTTTTGCGGAAACAAAATTCGCGATTTGATTGGCTAATCAATTTTCCTCAGATCACCTGGATAATAATCAGTGAATGTTGTTGTGGAAAACCTTTGATAAAAAGGAATCGGAAGTTATCCTTTTTTTTTAAAACAAATTGCTGTAAAATATCCATTTTATTAATTTTCTGAATTGTGTCGCCTGTGGCAAGTTTGAATGTGCGCATGACTTGAATAGATCTTGAATAAACTATGCAAGAGCATCTCTAAAAGGCCAGCGAGGTGGAATCAGAATCAGCTCTCCTTTAGTGGAAATATTAGAGACCGTAGCACGACGTTCTTCCCGAAAACCTCAAACTGCAGTTCGACGTCTGGCTTTTTAAGTCAAACTTAGCAAGGCGTCATAATAAAATTGTTGCTGGAAAAGCCGCCACATTAAATTTCATTGATGCTGAGTCGTTTTCTCCGTGTTTGCGGACGTGTTTGTGTTTCTGGGCCTGATCTCTAGCAGTTAGTGGTTAGCGGAAAACCTGATGCTAAAGGTCTCTATTTTACGTCCAAGTGATCGGGTTAAAACGGATTTGTAAAAGCTGCCTAAGTTACAAAGAATTGCGGCACCGTCAAATTTACTTGAATGATGAGAATAAATTGAATGATTACCAATTTATTAGCAAAAACAATGCGTCGTCTTCACAGAGACACAAAGAAAGAAAGTATTATTTTTCGGTATAGTAGTCGAACTTGTGAATTATCTTGAGAAAGCTGGAGCCAATCAGAAAGATCTAGTTATTAGTATTATCGTCCGTGTTGGGTTTAAAATGCCGCCCATTGCTTACTTACGAATCAAGCGTTTTTCTACAAAACGACACTGCGGTTGTGCTTATGCTTGTTATATTTTAGCTGACCTGGAAAAAAAAAAATCTTTGGAACCCTGAAACACTCTATGGCCGCCTTACTGATAAAAGTCAGGGCACGGCTAGCTCACCAGTAACTATATAATTCAAAAACTAGACTGGGTGAACTACCGCTTTAACACTCTTGATCTTAATTAACCTAATGGTAAGAAAGTCCCAAATTTAACATCCTCTCTAACTATGGAGTGGTAGATTAAACTTGAATTAGTGAAGACTGGTGGGCGAGCCAAACGTCCTAAACGTCAAGTATATGTCATTCAAGAGCTCTCAAGCTTAGCTATATGCCCCAAACACCGTAAATAATCAAAATCTTGCCAACATTCATATAGTAAAGAAGGCTTACTTATGTCAAACTTGTTTTTCTAGATCTGAGAAATGGATTAAAAACTATACTTTGGTCAATCTTATGACATCTGTCAGTTATTTTGTAATTTAATTTTTTTTGGAAGTCATGATTCCAAAACCTTTCTTTTTCTTTTTTTTTTTTTTTTTTTTTTTTTTTTTATTATTTTTTTTTTTTTTTTTTTTTTTTTTTTTTTTTTTTTTGAATTCGTAAAATAACGTTTTGTTCCTTGTTCGCGGACTCATTTTATCAGCGTTAGCCTCGTTTTAACGTTATAATATTCACAAACACCAACAGCAAAGTAAAGAATGCGCAACTTCAACAATATRAAAAGACGAATACTGTGGATCAAAATCGTCCCTGACCCTGCGTAAATGAGTCTGTAGTCAAGAAACACAGCGGTATTTTGCTACTTCGTTAAAAAAAAGAGGTCAATATTTCAATGTGGTTTTATCATGTAATTCTAATTCTCACGCACAGGGCATATCAATAATTACCATATAGCTGAAAACAGCATGTTGTTAAAATTACTTCACATGAGTCGAACCTAATTGAAACGATGGACAACAATGCGGTCTTCTTTGCTGTAATTAGGTTCGGCTCTTGTGAAGTTCGACGTTTGACCTGAACCTAAAACTACATGTGAACTGAGTTTGAAAATCAAAACTCGCGAACATATGAATTGCTTCGAAAATTGAAATTTTGTGGGAAAATTTGGAGGCGTCTCTTTGTCCCCAGCAAAGGTTTTTTTTAAAAATAAAATTCAAACTTTTCAAATATATCCAATTAATTTTTTCTCCAAGTTCGAACATATTTCCCTCAAACTTCACGATTTTAAGGCATGATGTTAACACGCTCTTGTTTGTCAGCTATCGTAATTATTTTCTGGTGTTAGTTACAAACTTGAAAATTATTTGATAAAAGCCGCATTCCTTGAACTCAATATCGTAGGTGTTTAGCTTGGGAAGGAAGGGGAAACGTTTATCTATTAGCTGCATGATGAAAGCTTGACAAATAGCTTTAAACGCCATCGAAGTGCCACCATTATCTTATCAGCGTGTCATTTATCTACCCAGGGTAGACTATACATGTCAGATAAAGTGAAGTAATTTTACAGTGAGCTTTATTTCAACCTACGTCTTGCTGAAACAACACTTTTTTTGTCGATTACCAATCCCTTATTTTCTTTGCGAATTTCAATGAACAATTTCGGTGAACAAATGGTTATGGAAAATGAACAAAAAGACTAAAGGACTATAGGACTATAGTCTTGAAATTGTAATCATAATCGTCTGTCAAATATTTCGAGGAAAACAATAAGTTTCTCGTTATATGTTTTTTTTAATGTCTTAAGTTTTATGTCTTAAGTTTTATGTCTTAAGTTTTAGTGTGCACACAATCTTGGACAAAGAAATAGCATATCAGATCGAGCTACAATTGAGATAGAAGAGTGAGAAAATATTTAAAATTAATGCCCGCTAAAATGTAATAAGAAGTGTTCTGTTTTGCCATACCCGTGGTGCATAGCCGTTTAAATAGTTGCGCATATTCTTAGGATAGAAGAAATACCATGCAGGTAGTTTATAAAGTTTGTAAATACCAAGAGAGAGGAGCTAGAAAATGTTTAGAAAATGTCCGCTAAAATGGGATAAGGGGATACTAGTTGCACTTCGGCTTGAGCTCAGAATAAAAGTAAGGGCATATTGCGCTATATAAGATCATCCATAAGCCGAGAAAGAAAGTATATATTTCAGGAGTCCCATGTTAAAATTAAAAAAACATTACACCATCGTATAGTAATTTAATTTGTGATGTTAAGTCACCAAAGCCTATTTATTTTTCGTGCGCACACCCGGCAGACAACGGTCCYGAATGAGAAACCGCAGCACATTCAAACGGCCGAAGAGAAATAATAACGAAAAAAATTCTAGTGAATGATTTATTACTTAGAATGAAGTATAGATAAAAAAAGTGCGTCCCTAACGCTTGGGACAATCCGTCTATCCTTTTGTTTCTATCTTTTGTTTCTTGTGTAGCAGTAAGGCATTCAACCCTTCCTTAATTATGCTAACCAGCTTCAATTCAATGCAGCGGATTTTTAATCCTTGACTCAGGATCTAAAGACCCTAAGAGGTTTTTGGGTTCAGGGAATTAAGGATAGCGTAGAGGTACTACACTCGCCTCTCATTTTGAGGTTTCGGGTTGTGGTTTCTTATTAATTCGGCATCACATTTGAATAGAGTTTGTTAGGTCTCCGCCCTTGATACGAGTGTTTAAAATTTCAATCGGATTCTTCAGTTTTCCTCCCAATGGTGCCAAAACGTAAGCTAAATTCCAATTCGATCTGTTGAAATAGCCATGCCCTGGCTTTGATCAGAGATTGTTTTAAGGTTCAACCTTAGAGTTAGCTGTGCCCTGACATTTACCAGATCAGAGGTCGTTTCAGGGTTCGATCTGAGAGTTAGCTGTGCCCTGACCTTTACCAGATCAGAGGTCGTTTCAGGGTTCGATCTGTGAGTTAGATGTGCCCTGACTTTGACCAGCATATGCAGAGATTGTTTAAGTTTTCAATATTATTTGAAAAATTAAAAGTTTTAAGGTTTAATTCCCATCTAAAATGAAAAAAAAAAAAAAAAAAAAAAAAAAAAAAAAAAAAAAAAAAAAAAATGGGGGGGGGGGGGGGGGGGGGGGGGAATTGGTCTTATTCCGCCGTAGAAACGACGAATCTAATTTCAATAGATAATCATGAAGACTTCCTCGTTCGAAGTAGCAGTTAATTAATTAAGGTTATTTTAAATGGTTTAAATTTCCGAAGATGAAGTCAGTAATGAGGTGCTAGATGATCTTCAGTTGTCGTGTTTGCCAAGCCAATTGATAATCTTCACAAAAAAATATATACCGCGTTCTTTACAGTTTGAAACTCCAGTCGTTCTATTTTAAGCTATAAATAAAACAAGTAGTCTCTTGTACAGACTCTTGAAAATCCGGACGCCAAATTAAGCGTCTATTTTGTTATAACTAAAGCCCGCAGGCCTGATTTTCGTTAGCAGTACACAAACACAAACGCAATCGTATACGCAGGGCACAACGAAAGGGGAAAATAAATCCTTGTGTTTGTGCTTAGGTTGAGAAATGAGGACGAAGACGTTTATCCTTGCGTCGCTTCTTGAAATCAGGCTTGGAGCTTTGTAAATCTTTTGAAGACATTACTAGCTATTTTGCCGGTAATGATCGAAATAACAGAAAAATACAAGTGCATGTTGACTATTGAAAAAAGTTCTTGATGACCATCGGAGAGGAATGATCTAGAAATGTATAGTCCGACGAAGTAAATAAACGCGAATCAGCGGGGAAAACAAGAAGAAGAAAAATAAATAAAAAGAAAACAAGAATTTTCTTTTGGAATTTCAAACATGTTTAACGTGTTAAAGCTTAATTTAAAATTGCATTTTTAGTCGCTAAAGACGAAGAGCGAATGTTTTTTTTCAAGACTGGATTTCTTTATCGCAAAAGGATCATATACAGCAAAAGTATAATGCGTCCCCAATCGTACAAACTTTATTTAATCTATCTTGCATTTTATATAGGAAAATATTTATCTTTTCTATCGTTTTTTATCTTCCCTAGTAAAAGAGAATTACAGCTAAATTCGTTGACGATAGAAGCTTTCCTTAAAGAAAAACGTAAACTTTAAAACCATTCAAATGATTTAGATTCTCATTGTAGGTGTTTAGATAACTTTTGAAGTTGTTCAAAAACAGAACGGTGTTGTTTACCAAATTAAAAAAAAATTATTAAGAAAATTGGTCCAAAATCGCGAACAAGTTTACGAATTAACGGCTAAAAATCATTAATAAAGTCCTTCGTTATTTCTTAAAAGAATCAAATTAATTTTAATTATATAAAATAAACAAGGAAGCTTAGAGTTCTACCTGACAAAAGTTTTCCGTGTCGACTCAGGAACTCCTAGATTTAAAACTTATTTTGTTCTTTGGAATTCAGTACAATGATGTACTTTCTATCTCATCAAGCGAAATTCTTTTCTAAATGAGCAGAATTTCTCGGCGCCTTTCCAGAGATAATGAAAAACTCCTTATTGGTCGAAAAGAGATTAGACTTGAGCTTGGATCTTGTGGGATTGTTAATTATCGCCTGTATTTTTCTTTCCTTCACGGAAACAATTTCAATTCTCACTAGAAGGGCATGGTCTAAGATTCATATTATTTCTACTAGAGAAAAAAAGAAACCCTTTTTTTAAAAGTAAAAATAAATGTTTACAAAATACTGACGTTATTGTGGGGACCTTAGCCCTTCGTTGGAATAAAATTTCGGCTATATAATGATCTTTCAAAAAAGTTAACGTCTTTAACTTCGAACTTTACAGAAGCCAATAAATAAAATTCACTAAATGAAAAGACATAAGGACTAAAGTATAATCTAGAGTTGTGAACMCGAAGTCGCCATTGGTTATCGAGTCAAGGGCGGCAAAAATTCGTATCCATCAGCTTAAATTTAGTTCGACAACAAATCTCCATTAAGATAAACTTAAGGCATATATGAGCTGTAAAGAGAGCCTTAAAGACTGTCAAAACATAGATATATCCGTAATCGAATTGTCGTTTATTGTAAATTTGCGTTGGCCACGTATGTAAAACAATAGATATCTCAGTCACAGAGCGGCAAAGATTTCCCCAATTTACGTTATCCTAAACCCACTAATTGTTGTTTATCGTAATAGGGGCATTGTATGTATTTGTTTATTTATTAACGGGAACCAGAAACTCAGGGTATAAAAACAGAAAAGTGTTGGTCTCTCTACACAATTCGCGCCGGGACTGACAGAACAAGAACTGAGACCTTTAAGAAGAATAGTTTTCTAAAAACAACAAATTAAGGTACGTCGAAAATTCATCGTAACAAAAACTTCTCTGTTTTAAGTTACTTACTCTGGAATCTAGATTCTTTAAAGAGTTTCAATTGTAATATATTTTGATAGAGTTAACTCTTTTTGTAAAAAGAAAATTGAACATGGGTAAGTTTGAAAATCCCTCGAAGAATTTATCTTTTTCCAAGTTACTTCAGCTGGTGTACACTAGATTATCAAACTAAATTCTTAAGACTTCCAATATATATTTTTTCAAAAGTTAACCGTTTAAGCTCCTTTAAGATTTTGAAGAAAAGAAAATCTCGATTAAGTTGGAAACTCCTCAAAATTTTTTTTCAAATTACAATTTTGTATTGCTCGCCCGAACAGTTTTTTTGATAATTTTAATTCAAGAGCCAAGCCACTGTCTTCTGTAAAATCGGATTAGAATTTTGTAATGGAGGATGAATGACGGATTTATACTTTTTCAATGGAGAGATCTTTCATTCATTTATTCTATTATTTTTGAGTTCTCTAAATGTGGAATTTCAGTTATAATCCAAGTTCAGGTTGTTTTTTCTTTGAACAGATAACTGTAGAAACCATTTCTTACCTTTTCTTTTCTTTTMTTTTCTTTTTTCTTCCCTCGATATACTTTCCTTTCTTGTGTTTCTTCTCAAGCCAGTGAACAAATTTACTAACAAGAGGAAGAAAAACAAAAATACAAAGGACGATTATAGACGTAAAATTTTGGCAAGACAATTGCCAAAATATTTTGCAATAATGACCATCTTAATACACGAAACAATAGTCCTTTATTATAATTCTTTTTATCTTTTCACCAATCATTACTTTCTCTAGAGATAAAAATATCACGCTATGCTGGTTTCTGAAACTTTTAGTTTCAGTGGCTAATAATATCCATACTAACTACTGATTTTTCTTTCGATTTTACAAAAATAAAATAAAAAAGATAAAGGAAAAAAGTATTTTTGTGAGAATTTATTCTTGTTTAATTTTTCCGGTCAAAAACTTYCCGAATAAGTACAATATTTATTTCCTATTATGTCTGTAAATACTTCATTATCTTCTGTTGTACTTGAAAGACACTATGAGATAATTAAACTGCAGGTGTCACTGAAAAACGATTAACGAATTGGTCTTCCTTTGTTTATGTTCGGTCGTCTTAATTTGTGTGCGTGTTTTTTCCCCACTTTAATCTAATTTAATAATAACATCTTATACTGGTACAATAATTGTATTTGTATACCTTGAGAGAATTTAGGTTGATAATGCAGATATTAGTAATATTACAGATATTAATAATATTACAGATATTAATAATATTACAGATATTAAGAGTGAGAAGGTACGGGTCACCCGTGTAGCGAGACTAATCGAGCAGATGCCCCTTGGGGTACTGCTGCGTTGTGATGTTCTGTGTTGAGTTTGCTGTATTTGTTGTGATGCTGTGTTGCGTTTTGTTGTGATTTTAATGTGTTGTGTTGTGATGTGTTTTATTCTGCTGTGTTTGTGGTGTTGTGTTGTGCAGTGCTTTGGTGTTGTTGCGATGTTCTGTGCTGCTTTTGTTGTGGTTTGGTGTGATGTTAAATTGTGTTGTGTTGTGATGTGTTGTGTTGTGTTGCATTGCTTTATGTTAGGTTGCGTTGTGTGGCGTGCCGTTGGGTGTGGTGTCGAGCCAAGCTTTGCTGTCGGTTGTGTTGTGATGTTTTGCTGCCTTGTGTTGTGCTATACTGTGTCGTATTGTATTGTATTGTTGATACCAAAAAAAACAAAAAAMAAAAACAAAAAAAAAACAAAAACAAAAAAACAAAAACAAAAACAAAAAAAAACACAACAACAACACTAATAGCAACATCGTATAGCAACACCATCAATAGCAACAATAACAATAACAATAGCTGCGAAACGTTTCACTTCTGCTTTCCCGACATTGATTTTTAATTTCGACACAGGCGGTGAACATGAAAAAAAGTATAATAGATTTTCTTAATCGATTTCATTTTTCTTTTCTTTCCTGGTGTTGATCTGTTTCAAAAATAATCGACTATTTTGTTCTGTTGCATAATTAAAAAGCAATTATAGCTTCAACCATTATATCATCGAATCAGAAAACAAAAGATAATTAATCTTGGAGGGTTTGCCGACTTGATATCGCGTTTACATTCTTCCTAATAACGTTCGGATCATACAATATCACAAGATAAGATATCATCTGAGTGTATATACGTAATTAGAGCTTATCTCTAGGGAAAACAGTAAAGGTGTAAGCCATTCGTGCACTAATAGGTCTACGCAAGCTATTCTCCTCACGCTTTTCTCATGCTTTCCCTGCAAATCCCCGTATACCGTTTTAGAGAGCTGTACACAGTACACAGACGCATGCGCGTTTCGTCTTTTTTTAGCAATGGACTACTTCTACGATACGGTGCCGTCTTTACATCTTTTTGCATTCCCTTGTTGTGAGCTGTTTTAATATCAATCTACGTACGTCAATAGAGTGAACGCATTACACTCGTGAAATAAAAGATACTAGTCAACGTGTAATAGTCAAATAGTCAAATAGACACAAAATAAAACAATGGAGTTAGGATCTACGAATGTTTTTTTATGATTAGAACTTAGCATCGTTTATATCTTATTAATTATTAATTTTATACTTATTTAATTACTTTCATTTTTTTACTATATGATATATATTTTAATTTCTATTTTAATAGTAAGGAAATATTATATTGTAAATGGATATTGGTATTGTATTTTGTTATGCGCACTCGATCATATATTGGCATGTTAGACTGCGCAATATTAAGTAAATAAATATTATTATTATTGTGTATTAGTCTAACATCTTTTGCACGGGTTTAATGACTTCACTATAATGTCACTAAGCTTTATTTGCACTCTGCAAAGTTCCCCGTAATGCCTTGTAATCCAAGATGGCCGCAGTATATCGTCGAAGTATAGGAGGAGAATCTTTTGCAACATCATAAAGATTAATTGATAACATACTTCAGGAAATAAATAATGAGTTAATGTCCCTAAAGGAATAACAAACTCGATTATCTGACTTACTTTCAATCGCATTATTTTTCTCTCTTTTCGTTATTTATTTATTTTTTCAGTTATTTTTATAAAAATATATATATACTAGCCTCGTAAGATGGGGGTACTCAATTGTTATTTAACTACTAATTGTTTTCGGTCAAATATCAGTTGACTGTAATATTCTTATGAGCGCTGGTCATTCTATTAACCAAAATAATGAAATATCACTTAACTGTTAACTACTAATTTTAGGTTATTTGTCAGTTAACTACTAACCCCATTGGCACCCTCTCGTAAAGGCTTTCCCAAAAAAGCAATCATTTGATAAAGCATATGATAAAATCTTGGACCAAGAAAACACTAAGAAGCTTCGAACCTATTAGTTAATCGTCTGCAAGAAGGAAGTTTGTTTTTCCAAAATAAAAATAAAAAACTCAAAAAAAAATCTTTATCTCGTTTGTGTGCATCTATAAAATAATTACTTGGGCGTGGTTTTGGAAGTCTGTTTACACGTGAAAAGTAAAGTAAAGGATATAAATAGAGAGTCAGATCGGTTTCAGAGTCGTATCAGAGTTGCTTACCAAGTTGACGAGAACAGGCTATCTTTGGAAGAAAACAGTAGTCCCAGATCTGAGGTAGGTCTTTCTTAGTTTTTGACTAAGCTCAGCTCTCTTAGATAGAAGGGTAAAACCTCGGACCATAACAACTGAAATAATTCACCTAAAAACTGTTTTCCAGTAATAAGCCAATCATTCTAATTGAAACCACACATCTATAACGTCCTACATCGGCAGAGTCTCGCTCCACCAAAACAAAAGGAAAAAAGTCTCTGCTAGCAGGGAACGATGCTATATATATAAACTTAAAAGTAATGAGAATGTATGTATTCCATGACGAAAAAGCACTCGTACTGTAAGCACTACTTAACCAATGGGTACTGGGGTATAACTAGAGGACACAATTATAGAGAAAATGTGTACGTTATTCGAAAGAAACCTTTTTCTTTTTAATAGAAAAATACGTGTTCTCAAGTAGCCAATTGAGGACACCTTGCGACTACGTTAAATAAAACTCTTAAGCAGGACGCAGATTCCATTTCACTTAGTTAGCACGCAATTTTCTTAAACTTTACAACATAATAAAGCGCGCAAACACAGTAACAAAGATAAGTGCTTTCGTTTCCGCTGTGAAATGCGCGCACTCCTGACCCTTCTGACACCAATGATAGATGTTCAACTCGCAACTAACTATTCAATAGCAAGCGCACACTATATATTCAATATAACCTCTTCCTCTCAAAACAGTCTTACTAACTTGTGGATATGAAGGGAAGGGAAAAGGGAAAATGAGGGAAAATGGTACATCCCTCCCCCTCCCCTCTCCCCTTACCACCACCTCTAGGGCCGAGACCACAAAACGCCCCTGTTAATAGAGTTCAAATATATGTTTGTACTTATGTCTATTATTACTTTTTCTTCAGAAATGGCATGTAAAACGTACCTCATAATTCTACTGGTTAGCTGTTTGCTTGTCTCCATGTGTATCCAACAAAGCAACGGGCAACAGCAAGGGTTGAGATGGGGGAAGAAATCCGTAGATTCATTGGAACAAGAGATTAATGAAGAGAAAGCTGCGGACGAATTGAGACGATTCAAGGATTATTTCAAGCGAAAATATAACCAGGGTGCGTAGGATTCTAGAGATTTTATGAGTAAAAACATTACACACTCAACACTGAAACACAAGTGTTGGACGTTGTATTTTACCATGCAACGCACGAGCAGAACATCTCATTACATCACACCATACGTACATACAAAAACTGGTACACTATTTATACCATCTTACATCACCTCACCTCAAGCCAGGTCACGCCGGCTAACATATTCACGTCACGTTATGTGTCACGTCATCACATCACTACATACGTCACGTTACGTATGTAGTGATGTGATGACGTGACACATAACGTGACGTGAATATGTTACGACACAACATGACATACTAAACCAACTTACTTGACGTCATCACATCACATCACTGAAAGACGTGATGCGCGATACGTGACGTTATATCACACACGTCACACCACATCAGCACCTGATATAAGTTACTAATAATACTATAGACCCCTTGGATGTGACGTCAAAGGAGCTCAATTTAGAGGACGTAACAATAGGTTTTCAATTTCAGGGCCCCGTTGTACGAAGCGGATAACAGTGGATAACAGCATCGACTTATCCACTGGATAAGGATTTATCCGCCGGATAGCGCTATCCAGACTTCGTACAACGGGGCCCTGAGAATTGGAAATGCATTGTTATGTCCTCAAAATTAAGCTGCCTTCCGAAGTGCTGCAAGGGGTCTGTTACATAAATCTATGTAGACATTTTATTTATTTCAATATTTTGTTCATTGTCAGATGCCACTTTCTAGAGAGGCGCAGTAGCACAGACCACAGCAATCCCAACTATGGACAAGATAAATTAAAACAAAATCCTGCCAAATCAGTTTGGCTGAAACAAATCCTAAATCAAAGAAATAATTAATTTTTTGAATGAACATTTTATGACGCGAATAATTGTAAATCACGACATTCATTCTTGAAAGATTATCAAAAGCAATAAATAACGAATAGACAAGAAAGTTGTTTAATGCTCATTGATTTTGTCCAAAATACCTACAATGAGCGGATAATATAACAAACAGCTATACGACCCGTGATATTCTCGTCAAAAAAAAAAAAAAAAAAAAAAAAAAA